TTACTGGTCGTTGGGAACCGATTCTGTTTTCATTGCCGACAAAGCGAGCGATGAGCACATGATTGAGAGTAAAACACTCTTAAAACAAAATCTATCGCTATTTAAAGGTTAAGTCAAAAACATTGTCCTAACACTCAATAACATTATTTATTAAGTATATATTTTGCTTAACATATTAGGCCACTACTCAACAATAAGCGTTGATTTTGTGATGAAAGAAGTGACAAAATTAAACCAGTTCTTGCATGTTTAATTCTCCTGCGAAATTGCCTGTAATAACAAATTTCAAGTAGTGATGGTTTAATTTAATATTAGTTTAATATAAATTTTTCATTATTTATGTAGGACACATACAACATGTGTAGTTTATTTCGTTAAACAAAAATACTGTATAATAATTTAACTTCACTACATGTAAATAACTATAAATTGTTTTATTTTACTGTAAAACATGAATCGTTTCCAGTGATAGATTCATGATTTTAAATACCCCGGTTCTCAGTCGTCGTATTTTCCTAATTAACAGGTAATATATTGCTGCACCTGTTTTGGACACAGTTTAGTGATTGTATAGATAAAGTTGTCAAAATACGAGAAATGTAAATTCAAAACAAATATTTTGTAAATTAAACAATTATTGTTCAATTTTGGATTTTGAATTAAGATTTTTCATAATAAATAATGCAATTAATAATTTTTCAATAAATTAATATAAATTGAATGTGTTTTTATAAATAAAAATTAGCATGGTAATTTAACAACTCAAATTATCAGGTGAAATACATGTATAGAGTAATTATATTTTGTTATATTTTATCTTAAAAAATGAACTGAAGGTACACTTCTGTAGACTCAATAAAAGTCAACTTAAATGTCAACAATAAGTGCTTATTTTTATCGGTGAAAGTGCTATTTCGGCACATGTTTTAGCAATAGTACTCTATATGCTAAACCATGGTCAAATTACGATTATTTATCCATTTAACTTATTCATTATATTTTTGATTGTCACTTCACAATTTTCTCAATACTTTAATGCAATATTCAAATATTTATTTCCAAAATTTCAATTTCCAAATTTAGTCAACATTACCCATAAATAGATTGTATTGTAAAAGTTTTTTATCACGAGCATAAATTACTTACCGTATTGTCATATCGATGTAATCTCATTCTCAAACACTTATACGATTGCATAAGAAATGTTTAACTATTTATAATTTTAATCGACAACTCATTGCACTTTTTTTCATTGCACAGATTTTGTCATTGTATTTGTAATTGTATTTCAATTGCAAACATTTGTTATTGAAGTGCATTTCTGTTATGAAATTTTATGTTTTAAAATTTAAATTTTATTCATTCAACTAAACGTCACAAAGTGCACGATGAGCGACAAACAGAGGTATGTTTAACTTTTTACATTTTGTTTAGTAAAATAATTAATCAATATTTATTTAATTGACAGAAAATGTGTATTATTTATGGGAAACTCTTTGTTGGATATGTCGGCAAAATGTGACCTAAAATTATTAGAGAAATACAATCTAAAAGTAGACGACAATTGCGAGGCCGAGGACTACCAGTTGCCCATATTTGACACATTACTCGCAATGCCTGATGTGGTCACTACACCCGGTATTTTATTTTTGCTAAATTAATTATTAATAATTAAATGAAAATTATTAATTTATAAAAAATGTGGATCAATAGGAGGATCGGCACAAAACTCGTCGAGAATCGCACAGCAATTACTTATCGACAAAACGGGCGCCGAATCCGTATATTTCGTCGGAAGCATTGGAAACGACAAAACAGGACAAAAACTCGAAGAGTTGGTCCGATCGGCAAAAGTCCGCACTCTATACTACTATCACCCGACACTCGGCACCGGTGTGTCGGCCGGAATGGTCACGTCCGACACGAATCGCACTCTAATGGCTAATATCGGCGCCTCTAAGGCGATGCCCGTAGAGTTTCTGGACACGGATGCCGTCCGACAGGCTCTCGACAACTCAATCATACATTTTGTTGAGTCCTATTTCGTGAATCACTCGCCGTTAACAGTGCTCTCATTGGCCAAAATCAGCCAAACGTTAAACAAAAACTTTTTCCTCTCGCTGTCGGCGACATATATCGTGAGCCAACACTTCCCAAAACTGATGCAATTGATGCCATACACGGACGCCGTGTTCGCCAACGACTCTGAGGCCAAAACATTTTACACTCATCTGACGGGCGTTAAGACTGACGACACGAAACTCGTGGCCAAAAGTATTGCCAAAATTGAGAAAACAAAACAAACGGATAGTCTGTGGGCGGGTATAAAGCGATGCGTTTTCATCACTCGGGGCGCGGAGGCAGTGATTGTCGCCAAATACATGTCTACAGAAGAGGTGACTGTCGACGAATACCCGGTGCCAAAGATTGAGCTCAAAGGCGATACCATTGGCGCCGGCGATGCTTTTGTGGGCGGAGTTGTATCGCATCTGGTCTGCGGTCATAGTATTGAAGAATCGGCCAAATTTGGTATTGAGATCGCGGGACAGGTCTGTCAGAATAGGGGATGTGTTTTGACAATTAAATGACAATTTTATTTAATGAATGAATGGTTTTTTTGTAAACAGAATTTTTTTTATATGAATTAAAAACTAATTTTCTAATTATATACATCTATAGTATATTTTTATATTCCAAGTTAATATTTGCTTAAATAATTTTTTACTAAAAATTAATTTAATCAATGAATCAGTAAAATATAACACATTTTTGTCACATGATTGCCAGTAACTGCTATGAAGAGCACTCAAAAAGTACACAATTTGATAAATAGTTCACAAATGTTATATTCAATTGACTTTTATATATACCGGATATCAGAGATAATAACGAAGACATTGACATAAAAGACAATTTAAGTGATAATCAGTAGAAAGCAATAAAATCACAATTGTATTGCTATGCACTGTATGTTACATAACCATTAGTGCATAAGTGCTTGAATTAATGATCATAATAACTATTTGAAGTGATCGACGAGTATATTAACCTAATCAGTAATCATTATTAGTCAATAAATAATCTTGGTCTGATAATTTAAATTTAATCAAATAAGAATAAAGTAATAAATTGGCGAACAATTAAAGGCATAGCCATAAAATATAAAACTATTTTCAAAATAACTATAATAAAAATATATATACCGGTAAAATTGGGGTTTAATATTCCTGTCATAAATAATATATATCTTATATTCTGTACCTTTGGTGCTGTTTACTATACATTTATATACTGTATAGAGAGTGAATGTAATTAGTTATAAATGCAGTCAAATATTCATGAATTCACAGAAATCGTATTAATTAGCAGAATATTTACTATACGTATGAATGATATGAATGCATAAATGCATGCTTTTGTAAAGAACAGCACCAATTGGTGAATACATGGCTCTACTGTATAAATAAAATATCATATTTGATAAATGCCACACAATTTGTCAATAAAAATGTTAATTCCTTATAACATATTGGCTTTGAGTTTCAATTTATACAGTTTTGTCTAATGACCGCATGTTTATCACTGAAATGAAGGTATACTGTATAATAAATTGTAAATAAATTGCTGTACAATTATCTGGTGGACCGATCGTATTGGAAATAATCTAATAAATAGGCACGATTATACTTTCCCGTCTTTTCGATTTATTAAATTTAGATTTCTGAACATATTTTTTAAATTATCGGCACAAATGGCCACAAACAACCGTCAAGGAAACCCTTAACCTAACCTAACCTAACTTACCATAATATAACTAACATAAATTAAAATAATATTTCATAAAATTATTTTTACAATGGTTTTCTATGGGAAGTTAAGATCGCGATATTTCTGAAAGTATTCAAGATAGAAAATTTTGGATTTGATATTCGTGTTCAGCGTTAAATTCTACATCGAATCCATATATCACATTCATAAATTTAGTAATTTTGATAGGGGGTGGGGGTAAAAAAGGAGGTCTGGGAGGGGTGTGCCCAGAGGGTTTTTTGGAGGTCTATATGTACTGGTTATAAATATATATATGTTGGTGGGCTAACTCGAAAAGACGGGAAAGTATAATTGTGCCAATAAATATATAATTTTAAATTATTATAACAATATTTTATAAAAGGTTATAAATACTCACATCAATCGCGCAGTGAACAACATTTCAATCACATTTAAGATAAACTAAACGATAATGCGATTAAAAAAAATTATAATTTAAAGTTAAAAACATTTTTATTTGTTTCCAAATGAATGCTCGATTGCGAGTCCTTTTCAGCTCACAATTTAGCAAAACAAACAAAATTACAATAAATTTCATTAAATTAAATACAATTTAAATGTGAAAACTCTCTATAAGTCTAACTATAATTACATTAATATAGCGTAAACTCGCGGTCGTCTCGATCCCTATGAGAATCTCTTTGTCTCTCGCGATCCCTTCTCTCGCGTCTCGCCTTCTGTCGCCTTTCAATCTCTGCGTCCATATTCTCTCTCCTCTCACGACTGTCTCTGAGGTCGATATCTCTCGGCTTTCGGTCAATATCGGCCTCCTTTCGGTCCGTTTGCGTAACTCGTCTAACGGTTTCCGTTTTAATCTCAATATCTTTGCGATCGATCTCTCGATGACTTCTTTGTGGACTTCTGGGTCTTCGAGTTCTCTTCCGTTTCCTACTTCGGCGCCGTTTAGCCGTTCCGTCCGTATTAGTAGTAGAGGTGCCGCTATTGTAAGGCCTCTGCGGAGGGCCAAAGGGTTTGTCCTGAGAGGCGATTATACCCTTGAAAGTAGTGGAAGTGTAGACCACTTCGTGCTCTTCGACAAAATTGGGTTCAAACTTTTCCAAGTGGTGTCTCACGTGGTTTGGCGACTGAAACGACACTTTGCACACCAGACACACGAACGCGTCGTTCCCGACGCCGTCTTTGATGCGTACGCCGTGTCTCAGGTACTGGTATTTGGTCTTCAGATCCAATTTCCTCATCTCCTGCTTCCGCGCCAACACAACCGCGATCTCAGACAACCGCTCGCTGGGTATCACCAGCTGTTTGTCGAGATCGTCGGTAAAGTTGCCCGACTTGTTGGCCAAATGGCCGGCGCTCGCGGTGTGCGTGAGGGCCGAGTCGGGCGTCTGGAAGCACTCGTCGCACACTTTACACAAATAGATCTCGAAATTAAAGTTTTGCTTCATTTCGACGCCTTCTTCGCGCAACTCTTGCAGTGTCTTCTCCTTCTGTAATGATTGCATTTGTGTCTCAATCAGATTCTTAACCAGATTTATGTCAAACTCGTTGGTCGGTTCCGAGCGGTGACTGTTGATCGATGCGCTCAAATCACTGGTACTAACATTTGTTAACAACTGATTTTGAGTACAATTAGTGCTATAATTAGTATTAATATCTAAACTATAATTGCTTTGCCTATCACTCGAGTACTCGATCACATTTGGACAGTAGGTCTGCGACGCCGGCGGTGTCGGCAACGACTGGGCCGACACACGAGTGGCGCCGATAACACCGATACCGAGCGACGGGTCGGGAGGCGCGCAGCCGACCGACGGACTCGGGAGTGGCTGACCGGCGATGACGGCGGCCGTCGATGGTGTCCAATACTGGCCGCCAGCACTCAAATGACTGTCACTCGTGGCGTAAGAATTACTTTTATTATCAATAAAACTATTCATATAGAGATCGGTGGCCAACGACGATGAGGAGGGCGTCGGCGGTAGAGTCGTGTCCACCGATTGGTCCAAACCTTTGTTGCGGTAATCGTTGCTCTCATAACTGTTGATGCGATCGAAAGCGGCGTTTGTTTGAAGATAATTGTGGAAAATCTGGGGTTTGAGGAGAACTCTGATCCGCGACTCGTTTGGTATGAGTTGACCAAAACTGGTGATCCGTTTGAAGCCCTGCTCTTCAGTGTCCAACACCTGTATATGTATTAAAATAGTATTAGTAATAGTAATCATCTTTGGATCAGCTGTTGGTGACAACGGCTCACCTCAAAGGTGTTTGAGTGAAACGAGAGGTCGTTTTTGGTGTCAATTTTGATGATCTCTTCGTAGAGGCGACAGAAAGAGACGTACAATGACTTGACGTGAGATAACATGAGTCTGTATTTGGTGTCATAGATGTCCACAAAACACACGAATTGGTTGTCCATCGGGTGGTTGTGGCCGAGGGTTGTGTCCATTGAGGCCATCGCTGTGTCCATCACTACCACAACAAACACGTCAACCAGTATTGGCTCGCATTTCAAATCAGTTTCGCTTCACAACCAAAACAACCCATAAATGCAACCAAACTATTGAACCCAATACTAGTGTTCAGTAATTACGTCCAGTAATTGACACCAGTTTTATAGCAATGAAAAGTTTGAAAGTTTTGTTCATTAATACGAAAAGTTTTTATAAATTATAACTTTTATAAGTTATAATTGAATGCATTTATCGTTTTAAATGACCACAAATATTGCTAAACATATTATTATTCTTAATGTTTGATAAATTGGGTAAATTTGTGTTATATTTATAACATAACTAACTCGTAAGTGATTATCTAAAAGACACCTTCATATTGGGAACTGTTAAAGTGATAGTACAAGAAGTGTTGGCAATCGAAATATTTATTTAAAAATATAAAGACAATATACAGTGAGGTTTGGGTGAATTAGCAAACACAGTCTATATATCCCTCTCTAAAATCGTAAATATTTTTGGACACAATCACGTTATCAGGCATTTGGACATTCATTTCGCGCATTTTGTCCGTCAATTTCTGACATCCAAATGACGATAACTCTAAATGAAACACTCGTCCCCTTTTGGCCACCGGTTCGGAGGTCAGGAAACTGATCACATCGTCGTACTTGTGTTTAAACGATAATTCAATGCTCAGCCGATCCACACCAGCAAATAGATCCAGAGTCTGACGAGGAATAGTGTTACCGAATGCATACTTGATGGTCATGTGCTTAAGTGAAGGGAGTCTTGAGACACAATCCATACACTGATGGAAACACTGATTGCAATTGGATGGGTTGTGACAATCGATATGACAGTACATGTCGTGGATCGACAGTTGGCGTACATTCGGAAACATTTCGGGCATATTTGACCACCGATTCGGTGAACACCGCAAACTAGACAGCGATAACGACCGCAACGACTGCATTGGTTTCATGTGTTCGGCCATCGATTGGGTGTCAAAACACATGCTCTGCTTGTGTTCCAATGGCCAGCTGTGAAGACTCAGGTCTCGCAGTTCTTTGAGTTTAACGATACTATCGGCAAAATCTTTGGCCGAAATGTTGTTCAAAATAATGTTCAATCTCTTGAGACGCTGGAGACGATCGCAGATCAACGCAAACCACTCGTTGAAGGGATCGTTTTGAATGGCGTATTCCCTGTTGTCACGAACGAACAGTTGGCGTAATTGTGTAAATCTGGATGTGATGTCACGGATGACCTGAGTATCACTAGTGGCCAAATTGATGTCTAGGCTTCGGATATTTTGGGGGAAACACTTGGCCAGTAGTGTGGAAGCAATCAATGGCTCCTCACAGATACGACATATCCTTAGACTTTGCAAAAGTGGCAACTTTTGGATTATTCTTCTGATGAATGGCATATATTTTTTGTTGATGTCGACCGCAATAATGTGCGTGAATTTGGACATAAGTTGCACCCATTGGTCGGCCACTGTTTGGTCCCGCCAGCAATCGATGTCGATTTTGTAAATATAGAGCTTCCGTAAGTGTGGCCAATGGTTGACCAACAGCTCAATTGTCTCCGCACTCAATAGAGTTGACGACAGGTATAAGCTGTTGACGTCCCGAAAGTGGTTGACTATTGACTCCAACCGCCATTCCCTGCGATTCATCAGATCTACTCCTTTGTAAAATAGCACTGATGTTATGTCTAAGCGGTTCCAATCGGTGATCTTAAACAGTGATCTATAGTGTTGTAGATATTCGTCCTGCTTGTTGAATCCAATGGCCACTGTTTTCTTTTTCAGCAGCACTTCCCGCAGACAATCGCGAAACTGTTGTGACACTCGCTGTAAAGCAAACACTTCATTGATGTCGAGTCGGCCTAATATGAGTGCCAAGACATCATCGTTGAGGACATCACTTCTTTGCTGTTCATTTGATTCATTCATTGTGTTCCCAAAATTGAGTTTTGATTTATTGTTTTCCGTTGTCTTTAAATTAATTGTAATTAATTTTTTAAATGTTAGCGCAAGACATTGCAAAACATGTTTATTAAAATTTGAATTTCAACACAAAATATTTTTACAATTTTAATATTTTTAAAAAATTTAACAATTATTGTTTGAATCATTAAAATTTTAAAACGGATTTGAGTTTCTTTTTTGTCACAAAATTTACAATTACATCTTTTGATCCAAACGTCAAATGTGTTCGCAATTGCAGTCATTCTCACCACTTATTCTTCACTAAACTCTAACTAATCCTCTCTTTTCACACATTATTTTAGACATCAGTCGAAACAACACTCAAATCAACACATCTTTCCATCGAAACGACTCTGAATTCAAGACCTGGACTTTGCTTTGGACTCAAGACATGGATCTCAAGACTCTTCAGGTAAGAGACCAACCATTTATTGAATTCAAACCTAAGTATGGGTTAATGCCATGACTTGAGGAATGACGGCACCCAAAGGTAGATACAGTTCGCCTGCGGGTCCGTAACGTAAGTCCGTCAGTCCTCGAGCGGAAAGGTGTCGAGCCTTTAACCGATAACATAAGGCATTCCCACACTATTCCTCACCTTCTCTTAGGTTTCGCACAAACAACTCATTGATGACCACAAAGAAAACACCGGAATCTTAAAGTTTTGAACAATTTGTTTGACACTCAACAACAACGGGAATTAACTTTGAATTTAAGGTAAATATTATGTTATTTTTAAGAGAATGACTGCAATTGTGAACACATTTGACTCTATGATATTAATTTATTTAAAATAAATAGTTTTTTAAACATTTTAAAACGTGTTTTATTTATATGAATGCAACTTTTATTTGAAGTTTGTGAGCTTGGTGATTTAGATAATACACTAATAAAATTGCAATTTGCATATATTTATAGGGGAATAAATATTTTATTTCAATTTACTTATACAAAGAGTACATGTTTTAAATGGTAATCACAAAAACATAAAATTATTAAAGCATTACATGTAAGCCGAAAAACATAATGTATTTAATATTTGTGTCATTAAATTAAGGTAAAAATAGATGAATAGAAATGACATATATAGCGGAATGTGT